GGGCCGCGCCCCAACGGGGCCCGCCCCGCCCGCCGGCCCCGGCCCCGACCTGATCCAGACAGTGGTTGCGGAGGTAGCGCATGGCTTGCTGGATGCTCTGGGGCAGCGGCTGTCCCGTGCGCTGCACGTTGACCGTCAGCGGGACCCCAAACACGCTCCGGTCCTTGTAGTCTGGAACCTTGATCCTTTTCATGAACTTGGGCACCGCCCTGTTAAAGGACACGGAGGGCGGGTTACCTGCCTGCCTGCTCTCGCCCACCTCTGCAGGTAAACTGCTGGGCTCCAGATCTGCACTACACGGTCGCTACTTCCAGGTACATGGAATAAAATGACAAGTCCAGTTTCCCAGATGCCCTAGCTACACAGCCAGGGCTCCCTAGTCCCGTGTGGCCGGGGGCTGGCGCAGACTGCACACAAGAACGTCCCGCCATCACAGACATGCCTGGAGACATGCTGTGATCATCCCAAGCTGGGGCTGGGGCCCGGTCACGCTTCCTCGCTAACCTTGGGCTCTGCGGTCTACAGACGGCCACGGGTTTCCTTAGAGCAATGGCAGTAGAGGAAGAAGCCAGGGCAGAAAATGACACGAGATACCCTAATTAGATGTTTCTGATTAAGAGTTTGAAAAATTAGCTCCCATTTGTCCTAAAAAGGAGACAGGGAGCTCGTCTGAGTTCCCGAGGAGATGGAAACACTTAGGTAAAAGGTGCAGGCCACGCTGCAGGAGAACAGCAGAGGGTGCAGGAGGACAGCGGAGCCTGGGGTAGGCCTAAGGCAACTGCGCGGCTCTGGAGCTCAGGGGCGAAGGGCCTGAAGTCAGATTCTGCTGGTGACCCCAGAGAACAGAACTCTTTACTCTGCAGAGGAAGATGGAAGAGGAACAATGGGAGGTTTGTAAGCTGCCCCCAGGCTCCCTGGAGTCTTGAGACCAGGTCCGCCCCCACCAGCATGTGCAACGGCAGGAAACCGATGTCACGCGTTTGAGGCTGTCAAGCAGCAATTTCAGCTCTCCAGATGACCTCTCTGAATGGGACAAGAAAGGGCGCGGCCGAACAGGGAAAGGACCCTGTAGGGTTTCTCCCTGCTCCACACACCCCACAATGCAGGCCTTTTCCACTTGGTTCTGACTCACTGGAAAAACTGACCAGAACTCAAGGAAGTACTATGGACGTGTAGATTCTTGAGGGTTTGGTGGGGAAGGGGCGGGCAACTCAGAAATGAGAATGTGAAATATGCAGTTTTAAATAGCTGGGGGAAAATATGACCGAGCACAGAGAGCGCTGCAGAAACCACGCTGACTCCTGCTGACCGACAGCCAGGACACAGGCCTTTTATAGCCCTTGGAGCAGTGAGCCCGAAGGCCGAGCCCGCGTGTCCCCAGGCAGCGTGGTGTCTGGTGTCGCGGCTGTGCGTGTGCACAACACGCGCTTTGTC